GGAGCAGGAGGAGGAAGAGGGGTAGCGGAGGGTGGGTTACCCGTTGTACCAGTTGTCCCGGATGAAGTGCTTGCGCCTTGCGATTGGGCATGGGGTACATACCGCTCTCGTGCCCTGTTTGCGTTAACGGCATCCTCGATGAGTTCTTGAATAGTTTTGGCCATTTTGTGAGTGAAGGCTGGTCGTGTCTCAGAATGTTTCAGATATAAATCGTCGCTGTGTGGTGAAAATAGTATTCCGAGGCACAGTGAGTGTTAGTGTTAACAAGTAAGAGTTGTCTGAGGCAGATATAGTGTCGTGGCGGCCGTTAAGTCGATCTGGAGAAATCGATGGTGGCGGTTAGTACGCGCGCCTGTCATGAGTTAAGACATAGTGGTTGTACCGCACGAAAGCTGGGTTCGACTCCCAGCCAGGGATATGTGTTCGGAGATGCTGCTGAGATTCTGTTCTCTGCCTGAGTCTATTTTAATTTTTTGACTTGGTGACTTTTGGACATAAGAATCCAAGGCTCTTGCCAGTTCAATAATGTTGTGATACAACGCTTTGAAACTAGAATACACAACTCTGGATCTAGTGTCAGTATCATACTCTGTATTTCCTTACTAAATACTTACAGACCTAGTAGATGACACCTTGTAGAGTGCCCATACTGTAGTATATGCCTTGCGCAAAGGCCAAGTAAGTATCCTTCAGGTGAAAGGTATATTGTTTGCTAAATTTGACTGAAATTTGATGTAGATTCCAAATATTAGTAGCAACCCAAAAAGCATGATATCATCTCCTAATGATTTTAACACCTGGCATAACCGTTTTGCACATCCCGGTGATGTCATATTACGCAATGCTCCTGGAAATGTCAATGGACTACCTAAGTTGTCGATACCAGATAAAGAATCTCCATGCAAAGGTTGCGCGCTTGGAAAGACTGCCTCCAAAGCATATCCTAAGTCCAAGAAACGAGCATCCAACCCTATGGATTTAATTCACGCAGATTTGGTTGAAATTCCAACCGTCTCTTATCATAAATTTAAATTTGTGATCACTCTGCTGGATGACTGCTCTTCTCATGCTACTTTGATCATGCTGCAACAAAAATCAGAAGCGTTTCAAGCCTTCAAGGATTTCAAATCTTGGGCTGAAAAACAAACTGGACGCAAACTTGTGCGTTTCCGCATTGATCGAGGGGGAGAACTTATCTCAAAGGAATTTACTTCCTTTCTCAAGTCTGAGGGTATTGATATTCAAATGTCCGAACCTTATGTTCATCAACAGAATGGTAGAGCGGAACGTATCAACCGTACACTCATGGAAAAATCCGAAGCCATGCGACACCATGCATGCTGCCCGGAGTCCTGGTGGCAATTCTCATATTCCACAGGAGTACATGTGTATAACCGCACACCGATCCGTCGATTGAACTGGAAGACACCAATTGAAGGTTTTCTCAAAAAGAAACCTGATGTCTCGTACTTCAGAACCTTTGGCTGTGGCGCTTATGTCTTTATTCCTATTGACAAGCGAAAAAATAAACAATCCCCACACTCTGAAGCGATGACTTTCATTGGATATGACCAAGGAAGCAAAGGATATCTATTCATGCGTAGCGATAATTCCGTAGTGCATGCTGCACAAGCAACTTTCTATGAGAAATGGTTTCCACGGTGCAAATCCGAATCTGATTCTGGAGTAAAACCCGCTATACCTGTTGCCCCACGCCTGTGAAACCTTCGCAACCTTCAAATGGTAATGGTGCAGACATTCCATTTGATCCGGAATTCCCGGAAGATCTAACACAACCGTTTACTGAACCGGATAATAGACCGCACAGTCCACCAGCTGGCCCAGATCCAGATCTGCCTGCTGATGATGATGCTCCAAATCCCAATCCTCCGGTACCCTCTCGATCACCCACCCCTCCACCTCAAGCAAGAGACCCTTCACCACCTGCTCCCGATCCTAATCCATTCAGCTACCGTCCTGAAGACGTTGAAGCATGGAAATGTGTGAACCCCACTAGAGAACGCCGTGCACCCTTGCGCCCTGGCATGATACCCACGCTGGCACTTGGAGCCAACAAGCTGATCGTGAAGAACGTGCTGAGCGCTTTGGACACGCTAGACATGGACTTGTGCCTGCTCGCAATATAGTTCCTGATCAAGTTCCGCCACTGGTTCCACCACCACGTCCATTGAATCCTGATGACCGTATGGTCACACCGCCACCTCCCGGCGCTACTCCGGATTCTGACATAGAAGAGGAAGCACTTCTGACTAAACTAGCTCAGGAAGGGGGAGTTGAATTACAAAAATACCTTCTTTCGCAAGCAATCTCCGATTCTCTAGAAGAATCATCTTTTATCACAGATCTTGACAGTGAAATGATACCGGCTAAACACAAAGCCGCTAGGAATAATCCTGATAATTGGATTTCTCCAACATCATATCGTCATTTACCATCTGCTGAAAGAAAGAAATGGGATCAAGCATGCAAAGATGAGATCGATGGTTTGAAGAAACGAAATGTCTTTGAAGTAGTTGATCTACCAAAAGGTCGCAAACCTATCCGTTGTCGATGGGTTTTTACTAAAAAATCTGATGGTCGCTATAAAGCCCGACTCGTAGCAAAAGGTTTTTCACAAGTAGAAGGTGTGGATTATAATGAGTTGTTCTCACCGGTTGCCCGGTTTGAAACTGTACGAACTCTCCTAGCTTTAGCCGCATTAGAGGACTGGGAAATCCAGGCTCTTGACGTCAAACAGGCTTTTCTTTATGGCAAGCTAGATGAAGAGATCTACATGGAACAACCTAAAGACTTCATTAAAGAAGGCACACCGAAAGTATGGCGGTTACATCGTGCATTATACGGACTGAAACAAGCTAGCTTATCCTGGTGGAAGGAATGTAACGCCTCCATGGGAAAATTGGGATTTAAGCGCTGCTCTTCAGATGCTGGTGTATACGTCTTTAAATCAAATGGCAAAACCGTAACTGCCATCATCTATGTTGATGACGCACTCTTTCTTGGCAAGGACAAAGATCTTGTTCTTAAAAAGAAAAACGAGTTTATGAAATTATGGGAATGTCGTGATCTAGGAGAACCAACTGAGTTCCTTGGAATGCGGATTACACGGGATCGTTCCAAACGTGTCTTAACACTTGACCAACAACCTTATCTTCGAAAGGTCATAGAACGTTTTGGATTAACTAACGCCAAAGCCACCCCAACCCCATTACCTTCATCCTGGGTTCCTCGTGCAAACACTGGTCGTGTAGATGCCAAACTTAGACAACGCTTCCAAAGCGTAATTGGATCTTTATTGTATCTGATGCTAGGCACCCGACCCGACATTGCTTATGCCGTTATAAAACTCTCACAGTATTCGGCGAATCCAAACCCAGACCACCTGGCCAAAGCACTTTACATTGTGCGCTACTTAATTGGGACTTCTACTTACGTACTTGTCTTTGATGGTAGATCTGACCATGGCTTCTTAGCCTATTGTGATTCTGACTGGGCGTCAGATCCAGATGATCGAAAATCCCATACTGGGATGATTATCAAACTTGCCACAGGTCCAATCTGCTGGACTTCTCATAAACAGAAAACAGTTGCTCTTTCATCGACTGAAGCTGAATACATGGCTTTATCTGATTCATGTAGACAACTTATGTGGCTCAAGTCTCTCTTTTCTGAGATCGGAATTACTATCGCTGTATTGCCCTTATGTGGTGATAATCAAGGATCAATCTTTCTGGGATCTAATCCTGTACAAGAAAGAAGAACCAAGCATATTGATATACGATATCATTATATCAGAGAACGCATTGAATCAAAAGAAATAGAACTCTTCTATGTTCCTACTGATGATAATGTTGCAGATCTTCTCACGAAGAACCTTGCACTTGTCAAATTTCAGAAATTCCGCAACAGTCTTGGAATTCTCTTTAATTGATTCGCTATAGACTGTGCAATATGTCTATAAACTATAATGCCGTTTAAAGTCGATAAAAATTATACTTCTTAGCTACAATTCTTAGCGAGGGGGAGTGTTGAAACTAGATTACCGCTTATGAGTCGTATCTAATCAGTAATGTGAGTCGACTAGATGCACTTGCTATACGATCGATGAACTGTCGATATATGCTATGTTGAAACTCACCCTCAAACACTAGATGCAGCCTCTACGCAGGTTCGTATAGATGTAGTCAATTATGCCATTCGCTATTAGTCTTATGATACATAGCTTGTACGCTGCCTTGCAGTACCTATGAACAATACCTATCAGAATTACCATATGGACTCCATCTTCTAGGGTACATTATGCACATGTATATGCACTATGTTTAGCAGTACGACTCAAGTAGACTCATACATTGTTATAGGGTTTATTATATTCTGTAGTATAAATACTGTAGATATTTTCCTGTAACAATAACCAAGAATCCTACTATTCGTCTGGACACTTGTTCTGCTCTCAACAAGCACTCTTACAAACTCCTGTAACATCCTGACACTCTCAGGTGAGTATGCTGTCAACCTTGTGTTGACTGACCGCTGTTTCTACACCGCAAAGGTCTGACACTATTGTATAACTAATGATAAGTAGAAAAGAGGAAGAAAGAAAGAAAAAATGCATATGTAGTTCTTGTTATCGTCATAGGAGAATGTCCCTGGCAGGAGTCGAGCCTGCGTCTTCACGGTTGCCAAATTCAGTACTGCCTTTCCAGATCACTACCACAACGTAATGATCTAACCACTAATCGACGGGGACGTTATCCACTGTGTAGCATCCACTCTCTTATGGTACCCACACAACTCTACAAATGGCATTCTCGTCGTGCGTCATCTCTGTAGTACTTACTGTAGACCGTCTAGGTTCCCACAAAGGTCTGAAACTATCACGCATAACCAATGATATGTACAAAAGAAGAAAGAAAAATGTATATCATTATAATGTCACCAACGTCATTGTTGTAGTTCTTGTTATCGTCATAGGAGAATGTCCCTGGCAGGAGTCGAGCCTGCGTCTTCACGGTTGCCAAATTCAGTACCGCCTTTCCAGATCACTACCACAACGTAATGATCTAACCACTAATCGACGGGGACATTACCACTGTGTACCATCCAGTCTCTTATGGCTTATGGCAGGCACAACTCTAATGGCCCTAGGGCTTGTTGTGCAGTGTTAGACTTTAGACCCGGGATATCCACAAAAGGACGCGAACGATAAACGACGACGTGGTATTAAGACAAGCAATTGACGTAACATGTGACTACGGACCGTAAACTATGTACAGCGTCTCGGCTCATACCAACATGCAGCATCTCAGGTTGATCTCAGGAGTAGAGGTTGATCTCAGGAGTAGTACTGTAGTACTATAGATGGTCTAAGGTCCCACGAAGGTCTGAAACTATCACGCATAACCAATTATAAGTACAAAACAAGAAGAAAGAGAAAAATGAATACAACACCATCAAATGCATTGTCCCTGGCAGGAGTCGAGCCTGCGTCTCCACGGTTGCTAAATTTACTATCCACAAGACAGGGAAACCACAACGTGATGATCTAACCACTAATCGACGGGGACGTTATCATTGTGTAGCATCCAGGCTCATATGGTATGTACCTCTACAGACTACAGATAGGGATAATTAGTGTGGGACAATAGGTGGAAATTATTTGTGAGCTCCAATAGGGCTCCCGGATTTTTGTTGTTCTAATATGTTCTAATATCGGCAAAGGAAAGGATTTCCATATTTTCGGAGTGTCTCCATAACCTGCAATAAAACAACTTATGTTGCTGGAATGACATTGCTAGCAGCCTAGTTGTTGAATCTTGATTAATCGATAGTCCATCGTCAGTCAGTCAAACGTTCAGTAATGTGTATTAAACGTTGCCTACTATATGCGTGTAATACTCTTGGTAATACTTCGCAGGTTCACACGCGTAGCCTAACCACAGTGAAAACGATATTAAAAAAATATTATAACCAGAAATGGAGCGATAGTTTCCAACCTACATATTCTACACAATTGGACCACTACCTCCAAGTTAGCAATGTCCCCGTCGATTAGTGGTTAGATCATCACGTTGTGGTTAATTGATTTGATTGAAACTTAAACAACCGTGAAGACGCAGGCTCGACTCCTGCCAGGGACACTAAATGTAGACCAAAGGTGTAATATTTTTTTTCTTGTCCTAATTTCTTGTCCTAATTTTATACTACAAGATACTAATTGGTTATGTATAGAATCGTTCTGATATACGATAGCTTCGGACAGGCACTCAAAGGAAGAGGTTTCGGGCGAACATTTTGTTTGTTCTGTTGAGCCTTGAACTGCGGGGCGGTTGCCATTGTATATATATACTCAAATCCATAGCCTACAGCTACCCCACTCAATATCACTGTGTACCATCCAGTCTCTTATGGCTTATGGCAGGCACAGCTTTACAAATTGTTTGCAGTATCTCAGGAGTAGAACTGTACAAAAGAAGAAGAAGAAGAAAGAAAAAATGCATCCAACATCATCGAGTGCGATGTCCCTGGCAGGAGTCGAGCCTGCGTCTTCACGGTTGCTAAATCCACGATGTTTTCGCAACCACAACGTGATGATCTAACCACTAATCGACGGGGACGTTAATACTTTGTAGCATCCAGTCTCTTATTGTACGCACAAGTCTACAGAAACTCTTGTAAGCAATCCTCCCTCTCAATGACTTTCCCGGATTTTTTGGAGCTGTTCTAATATCAGCGTACAAGGTTTCCACATTTTCGGGCAAATGCAGTCCCCACAAACTTTACATAAGCGTTACATAACAATCCGTGGCTATGATCCTGGCGCTTAATTGCACGCTCAGGCTGTTAATCTAAACTGAGAGGCCTCCGGCCTGGTATATATTCTCAACCCTAACGCTAAAGCGGGGCGCTGCCCCCGGACCCCCGCCTAACCCTAAACCTAGCCCCGAACCCTAACCAACCAACCCCGAACCCTAACTGACCCAGCCCCGAACCCTAACTGACCCAACCCCGAACCCTAAACAACCCGCGCTGCGCGCGGGCGTAAAAACCCTAACGCCTAACCTGACCTAACCTAACCTAACGCTAGCGGCTACCTAGCAAAGTTGTATAACGGAGAAAAAAAATTGCCAAAAGCGAAAATTGAACAGCGAGCCTCAAGCTTATTACAACAAGTGTGACACGATAACCACTACACTAAAGCAGTACGTTTCATTGAAGATGTAGCCTAAATATATCGGCTAATTGCTGTGAGAGGGTTATGCAATGCTTATGTAAAGTTTGTGGGGACTGCATTTGCCATTTTCGGAGCGTCTCCGTACCTTATGTTGCTGGAATGACATCACTGGGAAGCTTGCAGCATAGCTGTTGATTGATCGATAATCCATCGTCAAACGTTCAAACGTTCAGTAATAATATTATACGTTATCTACTATACGTGTATAATACTCAAATCCGTAGCCTAACCACAATCAAAACGACAAAACCTGGAACAAAATAATAAAGAGCGACAGTAGCCCAATACCTTCGATACTCCCCGCACCTCTAGCCATAGCTCCATCAATAAGCGGTACAGCAGCCCCAATCGTCTGGTTCAAACAGTTCTCGAGATTCGTATCAATCCCACTCGGTATCGGGGTATTCGGAGCAGACGTGTCATTACTCAGCGCGGCAGAATTATTATACCCGTTCAGCGTTAGCACGACACTGCTTGCGCGATAATACTCTATCGCCGACTCTGGGTGCGGCGCGTTTGGATCTGAGGAGTTGTATGCGCTGGGATTGGAGGTGTTGGAGGACGAGAGGGAAGCGTTGATGTTGGAGGAGCAGTTTGTGGTTATTGCGGAGATGAGGGAGATTAGTGTAGTGTTATCTGCGAGAACGTGGAATGTTGTTGGGGAGAGGGTGGCGTTGGAGGAAGTTGAAGAGGAGGAGACAAATGTTGAAGTCATCATTGGACCTCCGGGACGGGACGAATTATCTGGCGTGCCATACTAGGGAAAAAAGTTAGATTTTCGTATATGTAGATGGTGGAATCGGAGCAGAGATTACTTACCTCAGAAGAATCAAAGAGATACGCGCCTCCTCCGGCTGCAGCTCCTCCCCAAACTATGGGCCAGAAGAAAAATGGAAAGCCTCGGTTCGCGACGCCTCTTGTAGTGAAACCAGGGTATCCACTTCCATACGTACTAGTAAAAGTTACAACTTTAAGCAACGTTATACTGACCCACGAATTGTACCTAGATTTACCTGGTGCCGAAAACCTGATTCCTAGTGCCTCCGCCTTGGGATCTGCCCGAGAATATCTGCCCAGAAGGTATAGTCGTCGCTTTTCCACCTCCATTGCCATAAGTCGTGGCAGAGCGCGAAGATCCTGACGATTTTACGGGGGACGTAGAACCTTTTGCACCGACAGAAGAGCTACCACTGCTTCCGCTACCTACAAGACGGTCAGTAAACTTTCGCGAAGAAAATAAGAGAACGACAAACGTACTACTACTGCTACCACTTTTTCCACCGCCGCCTTTTCCTCCTCCGCCTTTTCTGCGATAACGGCGATGAGTTTGGGTTTCTTCTTCAGGCGAGAAGTAACGTGAAATTAGAGGGATACGCATAATTTATGTGGCGGGAGGGTAGAAAGTGGGTCGAAGTAAAAAAATAAAACACGATGGTTATAAACCTCATGACGGTTGAAAAAAGGGCCGAAGTTGTGGATCCGCTAACAATAGTATTCGGGCCAAGAGGCCAAGCGCCGTTCGTGCCGCGCGGAGCTGTTGAATAAGCAGTGGCAGTGTCCCGCTCAGCGCTTTTTCGGTCTTTTTCGGCTCAACAACATCAACAACATTGGTTCATTGGTTTATTGGTTCCTCGGTTTTCCCCTTCAGCGAAGTTGGCAAGAACTGTCAATAAGACAGCAATAAGACAGAATAAGACGTAGTACTGAATCGATTCCAGCACGTAAGCTTCTGGGTGTATCCTGATATCAATCGCACCAGTCGAGTCGATCTCTCACAGGTGACCTTTCTACAGCTTTCGATGCTGAAATTATTTTCTCTTTTAGCGATATTTTAATGATTCATTTCTCGCTAAAAAATTAGACTAGGTCGCAACACCGCTTTATCTTATATGTTAACTGTCCAACTATATGATTTAACACCCTGTCAATCTACCGCGTTCCTTTGGCGTTCCTCGATCTTCTTCGACCTTCATCGACTGAGCCCCAGACTGCCCCGAATTGGAATCAGGTGCATATTCAACGCTGGTGCGTAACCTCCGTTGCACGAGGGTGAAGCTGTCTAGCTTGAGGCCTGGGTCTGAGGTAACTTAGAAATAGCCCAGGCAGGTTTTGAGAGCAGTCACACTACGGGAAGGAAAAACAATGGATTTGATTGTCCAAAACACAATCTAAATGATTGTCTTACACTCATATTGATTGTCTGAACCATTCTTAATGATTGTCCAGTTTACTCAAAAAGATTGTCTTATACCTTTATATTTATTGTCTGAACCAATCTTATTGATTGTCCAGTTTACTCAAAAAGATTGTCTTATACTTTTATATTGATTGTCTGAACCAATCTTAATGATTGTCTAAATCACTCTTATAGGTTGTCTGAACTACTTTCAGTGATTGTCTTAACCTTTCAATATGATAGTCTGAACCACTCTATATAACAGTTCAGGACTATCTAAATGATTGTCAAAAACACTCCAAATGATGGTATGAAACACTCAAATTGACTGTTCAGAACACTCAATATGATTGTTTTTGGAAATGGGTCACAGTGTCTTGAGACAATCATTTGGATTGTCCAGCAATCACTTTGAGTGCTTGGAACAATCATTTGAACTGTCTTGAACAATCATTCTGAGTGTGTGTAGCAATCATTTGGGGTGTCTTACAGCATCACTTTGATGGTTTTCAAGTGCTTTCCAAGCATCTTTATAGTAGTAAAAGTATATTTAATACATATAGATTCTACCCTACCGTTCTACACAAGAGGTCAGAAGAGGGCAACTTATCTTGGATTTTTGGAAAGCATGTACAACGAAGAGAGCGAGCATACCAAGATCAACTGTGTTAGGACGTGATAAGCTAATCACTGTAGGCGTAGGCGAAGCAAAAAATAACTTATCTTGATGTTGAATGGTAACGAGCCATCAAGATGCACGGAACGACCACACTGAAAGAGGAAGATTGAAAAAAAAGGTAAGCGGAGCTTACCGTTTGACAGGCGAATCATGGGTCGTGCAGGCCATAACAAGGGGCTAGAATTGAGGCTAGCTGGAAGACTGTTACCTTTCGTTGACGTGGGGGAAGACTAAATCTTGAGTTTGATGTCCTATCTAGGAAGTCACTGAGCAATACTTGGGAAACTAACAAGAGCAAGCACGCACGTCAGCTCAGAAGCGGCGAATGTAGCAATCGACGAAACACGCGCGCGCATCAGCACGGAACCCGCGAATGTAGCAATTGACGAATCGTTGGACGGATTACAATGGCGTCCAGCATGGCCGCTGGTGAGGATGGGGGTCGTGATTAGCGGCAACGTGCACATACTAGGAATTGACTCAATAATTGCCATACAACGGCGTTGGCCTAGCGCTAGACTCTAGTCTCTAGTTGATAGACAACGTACTGGGCTCCGAGGGGAGGCCAGGTGTTGAAGCGAGGGACTAGATGGTGACGGGGGAAGAAACATTCATCGCCTCCAAATCTAGCAACGGCTGGCGGTGGGTGTCCTTACAACGGCGGTGATATCTCCTTGGCAAGGTGTGTTAGGCGGCGAGGCGGACGCAGACCCAAGGTAGAAATCCATACGATGGCTGAGCGTCCTCACAATGGTGGCTGGAAGACAATCCAGCCACCAGCGGAGTTCACCAGCACTGGAGGAAAGAAAGGGACTGGTGAGCAAGGGACAAGATAATTTAAAGTGACCCACGCACCTTCGAATGGGAGGTTGCATCAATATTGGTCTGGGCGGTCATGCTGTGGAGAGAAAGGGAGGCGTCAAGTTGTGTTGGATGGTCGCGGCCTTGTATCGTTGATAGCGTTAAAAGTACCTAACGAATATCCTGTTGTTGCAAGCATGCCATAGAGAAGCTCGAGTAAAAGCCACCGCAATGTTCGAAACTTGAAGACCGCTTCTATTCCCAGTATGCGGCGAAAAGGATTGCAGAGAGGGCCGGGCGTTACAGTAAGAGATTATTTATTTGCGTCATGAAGTTGCAGGTATCCAGCGGTTGTGTTGATGGGTAAGGGAAGGAACGGCGTACGTTGGTGGTGTTGGTGCTGCGGTAAGTTCAACTGACGTGACCATGTGATCTGTCAATCTCGTTCCGTTCATTCCGATCATCCCGCTTGTCCCGGATTTTTCGTATGCACACAATGTACACTATCAGAAGCAAGATGAAAAAATTCTTGGTAGATAAGCTGGCTGTATCATTGAGGTAAAGGTTAACCGGCGCGCTCCCATTGAGAAACAGCCGGACTCCGTGCTCCACATATTGCGCGGAGACGGAAAATGGAAAGTACAAGTTGTCCGAGTCAGGCTCGGACAGTCATTATGTCCGAGGGCTATTTCACGCTGAGTCAGTCTATAGGCTTCTGTAGGCTATT